TTATCAATTGATAAGAAAAGATAAGGGGACATTCTCACGACATCTATGACCACTACACTGCCAAGTAATAAAGTCTCAGTAAGCGAACTTTTCCTTCAGCCATCACTTCTCTGATAGCACTAGAAATGAACTCATTCCACTATCTCCTACTATATATTATGTGTCGATGTCGACGCGCGGAGAGGGTGGGAGGGGTATGTAGGTCGCCTGAAACAGGGAAGTGAGGGAAATTCGAGCAGAAGCAAAAAGAACATGAATAGTGGACCTTCATGCATTCAATAGCAGGAGCATTCGAAATTCAGAACCGACCATTTTGCTGCGTCTCTACAAGGCGTATGTTAGGCCACACCTTGAGTATTGCTCACAAGTGTGGAGCCCCTCTCTCAAAAAGGACATTATCAAGATTGAGAAAGTCCAACATGTGTTTACTCGGTTACTTTGGAGCAGGTCCAATTCCTGTATTGGTCGATACGATATTCCTGCTTACAGTGTTCGCCTAAAAGCTTTCTCTCTGCGTTCGTTACAGTACAGACGAATTTTGTCCGATTTAGTGTTTTGCTTCCGCGTTCTCCGTAAGGAGGTTAAGCTGACGGCTAGTAAATATTGGAGTTTTAGACCAACCAGTGAAAGGCTGGGTGGATTAAATCTTCATTATGACTACAGGAGGGAGCAAAAAAACACCTTTTTCTCCCTTGACTTTCGAGGCGCTATAAGTTACACTTTATTAAATTCTGATCGGACATTTCTACCACCATATTAAAGAGCATATTAAATACTATCATGATACTCCGCCACAGCCTTCTGGAGGAGCGCCATCGATTCTGCCACGCGACCGTGAGTGGGTACCTGAGTTCAGCGAGATCGTTGATTTCTCCGCCACTGTAGACCACCCTGTTGAGCTCCGCCCGAACCGGGTAATTGAGGGGTCAGGTCAGGTGACCTACTTAGATATTCCATCTTCTTCAGGTACTCGACCTCCATTCCAAGTAGGCGAGAGTTTTCCAACGCCCTTCGATTCCATGTGGTGGCACCCAATGCTGTAGCAGTACAAAGTTTCCAAGAAGGTACGGGCGACGACATGTGGAAGGATATTCTTCTCGAGTTGCTCGATGTAACCGCCAGCGCTCACCTTCAGTCCGGGGCCCACGAAGAAAATATCGGTCTTTCCATTCCAGGTACGTCCGGTCCATACCATCAACTCGCGCCTTGGCGACTGCGGTGAAGATGATGTCCTAGACCTCCTGCTTATCGAGGAACATCTTGGGTATCTTCCGCCCTGGTACTCGTATCCACGTCTTCTGTCTGGGCTGCGAAAACTTTGCTGATATGTGACTCGGTCGAAGTGACTTTTTTTGGCCCTCCCTGTATATATATGGGAGCGCGCTTTTTGAAAGCGCAAAAGGACACTTCCTGGATTTTGCAACAGGACATAGTTCTTTGTGATCTTCCAGTATCTTGATGTCCATTATCCTATCGTTCGTGTTGAGAAAAAGTGTTGTTTGTATGCATGTTTCACCGTGAAGCGCAAGCTTCTATGACAGAAACTCAAATTTTGAAGCACCTGATCGGTAGCAGAATCAGTGATGAAAGCGTCATCTATGTGAGGCAGGCTCCCCTGTATATCCACTCCAAGAACTATTCTTTAATGTTTAATATGATCTTTAATCGTTGCGCAAGATGGTTCGAGCTACTACCCCCTTACGTTCTCCAAGCGAATAACAGCAAAACATTCAAAAGCAGGCTGAGTAAGCTTGACCTCTTGCATATATTGAGAATACCTAAATCTGTTCACGCATTCGTTTCTCACTATTTCAGCCTCATGTCGAATACTTGGTCTGCAT